CAGTCAGTCAGTCCGTCAGCCAGTCAGTCAGTCAGTCAGTCAGTCAGTCAGTCAGTCCGTCAGTCCGTCCGTCCGTCCGTCCGTCCGTCCGTCCGTCCGTCCGTCCGTCCGTCCGTCCGTCCGTCCGTCCATTCTTACTCTGCCGCCGGAAGTGAGGGGATATGCCTGATGTGCGTGGGATCGGGTACGGCGTATGTAGTTGGCTAGTCCGGCAGGCGGTCAGTTTGTTGGTTAGTCCACCTGTCGCGCGGGGCTACTTGACGCGCGGAGGCTGAGAAAGTGGGGAAGTTTAGTTGCCGTACGGGCATGCGTTGGAGCAGCATCGAGCGCGGGGTTGGAAAGTGCTTGGCGGAGCACTTGACGGGCGGGATTGGGTGAGGCGGCGCCTGACGCGCGAAAGTGCGGAGGTGGCGGGGTAGTTAGTTAGTTAAGTATTTAGTTGGTTAGTTGGTTGGTTAATTCGTTAGTTACTTAGTTGGTTACTTAGTTAGTCAGTTCGTTAGATGGGTAGGTGGGCAGTTAGTTAACTGAGTTAGTTGCTTAGTTTGCCTGTTAGCTAGTTTGTTAACTAGATAGATAGTTAGTCAGTTAGTCAGTTAATCAGTCAGACGCACGGGGTCGGGACCTCATGCGCGACCTGACGCGCAGGGGTACCTGACTGCCTGTGAGCTGACGCATGGATCGGGATGAGGGGGCCCGGGATAGCAGCGACACGCTTGACCTGGGTGTGCAGCTGACGCGCGGCTCGGGATAGTCGGGACCTGACGCCTGACGAGGGAGAGAACGAGAACCTGACGTGACTGTGTGCGGAAAGGCTGACACGGATCGAGATGGAAGCAGACAGGGATGGTAGCTGACGCGCGGATCGGGTCAGGGGTTACCTGACGCGCGGCAGGGTCCCTGTCTCGGGAACGGGGATAGCTGACGCGCGGATCGGGGCACGTGACGCGCGGCAGGGGGGAGAGTAGCTGACGCGCGGATCGGGTTAGGGGGGTACCTGACGCGCGGCAGGGCAAATAGGAGCTAACGCCGCGCAGAAGGGCTGACGTGCGGATCGGGATTAGGGAGTACCTGACGCTCAGGCTAGGGCGCACCTGACGCGCGGATACCTGGCGCGCGGAAGGGAGGATAGCAGCTCACGCCGGATGGGGATGGGGGTACCTGACGCGCGCAAGGGGGATAGTAGCTGACGCGCGGATGGGGATGGGGGGGTGCCTGACGCGCGGAAGAGGGGATTACGCATGGTCGTTTTGGGGACAGGAGTTTATTGATCAACCCCCATACACATGTCCATCTTCATTGAACCCCCTCGTTTTTCGTCATGGGCAGGTGCATCTCAACTCAACCAAGATACGAATTGCCTGCACCCTGAGTCTATCGCAATACCAGACTCCTTGCGGGTGACTTGCGTTCTCTTTCCCAGTATATTTCGTGGCTTTCCAATTCAATAGTAGATCGGGTCAGGCGGTGCCTGACACGCGGAAGGGCGAGTAGCAGTTGACGACGCACGGAAGGGCTCACGAAGGTGGGATAGTAACTGACGTGCGAATCGGGTCAGGGGGGACGCGCGGCAGGGCGAATAGCAGCTGATGGAAGGGCTGACGCGCGGATCGGGATTGGGGGGTACCTAACGCTCACGCTAGGGCGCACCTGACGCGCGGAAGGGAGGATAGTAGCTCACGCGCGGATGGGGATGGGGGGTACCTGACGCGCGGAAGGAGATGGGAGGCACCTGACGCGCGGAAGAGGGGATAGTAGAGTGGTCAGGCGGTACCTGACACGCGGCAGGGCGAATAGCAGCTGAGGACGAGGCCTGACGAAGGTGGGATAGTAGCTGACGTGCGGTTCGGGGCGCCTGCCGCGCGGAAGGGGGGGATAGTAGCTGCCGCACGGATCGGGTCAGGGGGTACCTGACGCACGGCAGGGCGAATAGCAGCTGACGCCGCGCGGACGGGCTGACGGGCGGATTGGGCTTAGGGGGTACCTGACGCTGACGCTCCCTGACGCGCGGAAGGGAGGATAGTAGGCTACGGGGTAGTAGTAGCTGACGCGCGGATGGGGATGGGGGGTACCTGACGCGCGGAAGAGGGGATAGTAGATCGGGTCAGGCGGTACCTAACACGCGGCAGGGCGAATAGCAGCTGAAGACGCACGGAAAGGAATGTAGCTGACGTGCGGATCGGGGCACCTGACACGCGGAAGGGGGGATAGTAGCCGACGCGCGGAGGGTGCCCTAACGCCGCGCGGAAAGGCTGACGCGGGGATCGGGATTGGAGGGTACCTGACGCTCACGCTAGGGCGCACCCGCGGATGGGGATGGGGGGTACCTGACGCGCGGAAGAGGGGATAGTAGATCGGGGGTCAGGCGGTACCTGACACGCGGCAAGGCGAATAGAGAAGCTGACGACGTGCGGAAGGGCTGACGAAGGTGGGATAGTACTCGGCGCCTGACGCGCGGAAGGGGGGAGAGTAGCTGACGCGCGGATCGGGTCAGGGGGTGATTGACGCGCGGCAGCGCGAATAGCAGCTGACCCCGCGCGGAAAGGCTGACGCACGGATCGGGAGTGGTGGATACCACGCTCACGCTAGGGCGCACCTGCTGACGCGCGGATGGGGGTGGGGGGTACCTGACGCACGGAAGGGATATAGTAGCTGACGCACGGATGAGGATGGTTATTACCTAATGCGCGGAAGGAAAATAGTAGCTCACGTGCGCCTGGGAGTAGGGGGGGAACTGACGCGCGGAAGAGGGGAGGTGAGGGGGTGCCTGACGCGGACGCGCGGCAGGGCGAATAGCAGCTGCGGAAAGGCTGACGCGCGGACCGGGAGTGGGGGGCGCCTAACGCATACCTAACGCGCGGAAGGCCGGGAGGATGGTAGCTGACGCGCGGATTGGGATGGGGGGTACCAGACGCGCGGAAGGATAGTAACTAACGCGCGGATGGGGATGGGGGGTACCTGACGCGCAGCAGGAAAATAGTAGCTAACGCGCAGGCTAGGGTACCTAATGGAAAAATTAGAAATGTAGAAGCTGCAAAATTAAACATCTCTTCTAAAAAACAATTCCGAAATTAAAAAAACTAGCGGGCTACAAATTAAAAATTTAAATAAAAAACCTATTCTAGAATAATCTAATTTCGCTATACAAATATCCTAACCCAACCAATATCATTAATATAAAAATGCATAAATTAGGCCCCGAAATCAAACACACAACCGACCCCATAACAAAACAACCCAAAATCAACCATTTCCAATTCAACACTTCATAAAACCCTCGTCAAACCCAAATAAAACCCTAATACAACCACTAAAAACACCTTAAACATACCCTAATAAAAGCCTAATAAAATCCCGAAAAACTCCGCTCGTAAAACCTTACCTCAAAATTGTCCCGAATCACCCAGGAACCTATCTAAACTAAGACCCCCATTAAGAATTTTCAGATCGTCAAAATGTCTATTCTTAACAAATATATAAATATAGAATTCTAAATAAATCGTTTTGCAACGGAAACTATGAACTATAACGATTCACTCTTATCAAAAAAATTATATGTTCAATAAAATAATAAGCAAAAAGAATTATAACTACAATAACATCATAATCTCTAAGAAATTAACCAATCCAAGTGTTTTCTCTAGTTATCATAGAAATATCCCGATCAATATTTCGTTATTTCTTCCTCAACATCTGCGCCGTACCTCACGTAAAGCCTTTCTAAATTATTTCAATTAACATCATACTAACGCTCATTAAAACCAGCAGCAGCAGCTCTTCTAAAATTAACCTGCAGAGGAAAAACACACACACACAAAACACATCAAATACGAAATGCGGCCCTAATGTTTGGCGGCTTCGCTGCGGGCTTCATCTGCGTATTTATGTGGTTTTCATGATATCAAACATGTTGTCAATGGTTGTTAAGCATGCAGCCGATTGTCCCCAGCTTTCGAATTCCATAGTGTACAAGCCTTCACAAGGTGCAAAGGCCAAAGGCGAGCCTCCAAAAGCCTGTGGGGCCATGGTCAGGCTCAAGTTTCCTCAACTCCACAACTTTACATCGGATGTCCCAAGTCGCTGTTGAGGAGCCTGAAGTGAAAGGCAGACGCACAGGCCATTGTGAAAAACAGCGAAGATGCTGCCACTAGCAATCTTGTTCGGGTTGGTACAAGGAATGACTATTCCTATTCACCCTCTTGATGATGCTCTGTGGAAAGTTTTTGACCATGGTGCGCATTTCCTTGCTCTGGAAACTTTCCCAGAGACATGTTAAGATGGGCCACGGATCATGCACGATCTCTGTCACAGCCGATCTGTATATATATATATATGAATAGCTTAAAATGTGTAGCCCTTGAAGTAAATGCAAACAAGCAAGGGATGCCATCAGAGCATCAAACATCCTCACCTGGCTCACAGCGGCTGAGAGCTCGGTGTCTACCTCTCAGCCTCATCCTCCATAAGATCCTCACTGAGTGACTCTTTGCTTCAGGCAGACTCCGACCCCTGCGAAACAAAACCAATGCCTGGGTAAAGGATCTTGGCTTCTGTTGACCTGTCTGCAAAATGTTTAACTTTTTGTGGGTTTAATGGAAAACCCCTTGATTTCCCAAAAAGTTAAAGTCCAAAGATCCAACCTAAGAGCAGTCAAGGGATTCACGGCAAAATGAAATGACCGAACCCCCTTTGGGGCAAAAGCCGGGTCATGCCCGGCAATGTTTGAACATCTTCTACATGAGCATGAATGTCTAGCAACATGCGTTTAGGGTATTCCCCATGCTAGGCATTCCATGTCCGTCGAAATATCGAAGACTAGACTCTCAGTTGTTCAGTGACTCTGGAAAAAAAGGGAACCCTTTTGACTCGTGGCGCCTCCGTGTCGTCGAGGAAGCGCAGGTCGCAGGGGCATGCCGCCACCTGGACCTAGTTAAAACGGGCATCTGGTGCCCCGCAAAGCCGACGTGTGGGGGGCTATGCCACACCCCACACGTGGCACATTGGGCAGCGGAGTGCTGCGTGAAACCCGGGTGCCAGGAGGCACCTCACTGAAGAGGCTAGGCCAGAGCGCCCAGGGAGAAACCCCAGTCCTTGGGCTGCCTGCCCATGCGGAAGGCCTTGAAAAAGGCCTTCTCCTCAGTGGTGATCTGCAAGGCAACCCCAGGGAAAGCTCCCCTGGGCCAAGTGGCACCAGTGTACCGCCCAAGCCTCGGCTTCCAGGAAGGCATAGCCCTCGGGGCACGCCGAACGATGCACCGCCTGGCCGCCTTGAAGTGCAATCTGTTTTAAACTCCCTAGTCGCTTGCGAATTCTGACCCTGTCTTCTTTGGTTCTCCCTTCGGCGCATTTAGGGCTTACTTTGCCCATTTCTTGCGGACACTACGCCGACTCGGTCGGTCGGCCGGGTTCTGGGACGTGTGGACATACGCCCACACGGGAAAACAACGGGAGGCCAAAAGAAGACAGTTAACACAGGTCAAAGTCCTACGAAGTTTGCGACTGCTGGCACGCCCTCGGGCAAGGGAATGCATGCACACTAGACTGTCCGTCAAGGGAACGAACTTGGCTCTAGTCACCTTGCGTTTTTCGATCCACCCACCACCTGACACTTGTTTAAATGGCCCGAAGTTCCAGGCAATTGATATGCTCGGGATCACCTTCCCATCCCCAACTGGCGACTGTCATCCATCTCCAACACTGCGAAGGAATGCTAGCTCGCAACCTGTAAACTTCAGTTGTTCCTCCGCGGACGAGTGAACCAAAATATCTTCACCCTTCAAACTCACATGGTTCATGAACTTCTTGGCCAACACGAGCTTCTCCTTGTCTGACCCTCGTTTCGGGAAAAAGACAATGGGCGTCTCTGCAAAAAGTTCGTAAAATTCCTCCCTGCTCCAGGCTTAGTAGCCTCCACTGCCTCTGAAGGCAGCTCAAGAGAAACGTGATGACCGTGACGTTCCAAGAATTGCCAATAAGCGTGAGCCGCGTGTCATTCTTCTGTTCGGCAGTCAACCCACTTTTTGGGAGGCAACTCCCCGTGTAGTTGATTGGGAACCCCATCATAGCTTCCCGCTCTCTCACATTTGGCAGGCGAACTTCATCATCACGAGTCGTTTTCCCATCTCTCACGTTCCTCAGAAAAGCATTTGTTTAGTCCCGCCGGCCTATGCCCAGGGAACTTGCGAGGACGGGAAGTTGTAAACGTAGGAAGTTTCCTTGCCTCCCTCATTGACCATCCTGGCTCCATGTAAGTACTGGGGTCGATAGAGGCAGAAAGCTCGATGTCAAGAACCTCACTACACTTCTTATAGACGCCCATCATGTCAGGGGCCTCCCAATCAAACCACTAAAGCCGCGGGCGACGCTCCTGCCGCATCAATCCGAACTGGTTCTAGATCCACCGATGCCGACATAAGGAGGCGATCTGTGTCGTCCGTTGAAGCGGCAGACTCCATGAGCAGACGGACTTGACACCAGGGAAAGGCCTGTTTAACCAGTTCCAAGATCCTGGCAACATGGGCGAACAAGCATGATCTTTCATCTTTCAGGGCACCTTTGCGATCCAGCGTTGAGCATGGGGGTCCCGCTCCAATGACGATCAAACTCGCTTGTGAGAAATGGGTGGCACGGTGGCCCAACCCTTGACCACTTCAGCATCCACGGTGGCGACATCCTCCCACATAAGGGAGGCAGGGCCTGGCCTCCGTAACCCGCCTGGCCTCTGGGTTCTTCTCGACCGCGATGTGCCCCAGCAACGGCAGCTGAGATGCCTCCGCAGCCACTCGAAGTGCACCAATGCCATCAAAGAGTCCAATGGTCACCACCCTGCAAACATCAAAGGGCTCTGGAAGGTCACCTCGTTGTGGCATCTGGGAGGCAATAATTTTGCACGGGCTCAAGCCCTTGCTTCGGGTTACGCCTCCCCACGTGAAGAAGCATCGCTTGCGGTAACCATCCCCTGAACCTCCGTGCGGAAATCAAAATGTGCCAGGGGAACCAGACCCACAAATCTTAAGATCTCCATCTTGACCAGGTTGGGTGTACGTAGGGCGGAACCTTCTCTCAAACCTTCAAAACTCTTAATAAATGTCCAAATGTGGTTCAAAGCCGAGAGGAGGAGCCTGGTCCGCCCCGGTAGTAGCCCGACCAGGAGTGCACGGCAAGGCACCAGGGTGGCGCCGCAGGAGGATGAAGTCGACCTCAAGACCAGGCTGACAGTCGTCCGGCCTCCTTATCCAAACAGCTGCAGCGAGAAAGGCGAGCCAAGCTGTCCATGACGTTTCGCCCCGTAGCCAGTCAAGTGGTCGAGAAGGAGGAGGCGTGGTAACGACGGCCATGGCTCTGCAAGACACACAGGGGGGGGCTCTGCGGGGCAGGGCATGGAGCATCCACAACAGGACCAGCAGAAGGGGCCGGAAGGGGCGTGCCACGACAGTGAACAACCTCTGGAGCCAAAGGTGGCGCCGGTAGGCGGAGAAGAACAAGGCATCCAAGCGAGCAGAAGGGACCGTGAGGGCTGCACGTGCAGCGCGCTTGGCAGCACGATCGGCAGCGTGATTGCACACCGCATGGAGTCTCTCCAAAAAAGGCAGATCGCCGGAGATCACGGATCCAGTAGAGGTGCAAAGAAAAGCCACCAGATAAACGGGCCGCACAAATATCCCAGAGGACCTTCCAAAGATCAGCAGCAGCAACATGGTCAGGGACACGACCACAACGACAAATGGTGGCCCATGCCGTGACGGCCTGCGAGTCGGTGTGAAGAGTGAGGGAGCCTCGGGACTGGGTGGCAGCCTGCACCAAAGCAAAGACTTCCGCCCGATAGTTGTCCGCGAAGACCCCAGGTACCGGGCCGGAGAGGAGCACAGACCGGGTACCACATAACCCGCCGCAGCAAGGAAAGGATGCTGCGGAAGGAACACACTGCCAGAGATGGGCATGGCCAGGGGCTTCCAGACCAGGCATGAGAGACGTGTCGGGCCACGGTTGGTTCCGACAGAAAGCAGAAACCAAGTCAGGTGGGACCTCAGCAAGCCCATGCGCTGCAGGGGAGGTGGCCCAACCTCAAGGGGTAAAGCCTGGCATTGAGTAAGGTGCTCAATGGTGTCAACATGGACACCGCAGTAACGACACAGAGGAGCGTCAGCAAGGGCAGCCGCATAAAGGACAGCAGAGCCCACAACGACCGCAGGGGCGACAGCTTTGTTGCACGGATAAAGGTGTGCAAAGGCAGTCCACTTGGGGGCTGCTGGGACACTCCACGGGGAGCGGGTGAGCGCAACATCAAGGAGACCAGATGATGTCGGCCCTTTTGCCCCTGCAAGCCCGGCGGTAGGCATGCTGGGCAAGCGGCTAAGCGAGCGAGTGGAGACAGAGAAAAGGGAGATCCAGGGGCCAGCCTCAGCCTGGAAGCGAAGACCACAGGCGGTGACAGCCGCGAGGATGTTGGCAACCAAGGTGGAAGGCATGACCCGTGGGTTCGTGAAGGCAAGCCGCCACTTGAGGGCAAAGGCCTCTGAGCGCTGGAGGTGGGTGACCACATTGAGCAGAGCCCGGTAGGGGAGGGCATACTCAGGATGCACCAGATGACCCGGATAAACAACGGCAAGGAGGAGTTCACGGGATCTCCACGCAGGCCTCCCATCCCACAGAAGACGACAGAGTAGACAGCAGCGCCAAACAGCCAGAAAGCCAGCCAGGAGCCAGCCAAAACCAGCCAGAAAGCCAGCCAGAAGCCAACCAGAAGCCAAGCCAAGCCAGCCAGAAGCCAACCAAAAAAGCCAGCCAGGGTTTCCCTTTGAGGACAACCGCTGGTAGTATTCGAGCTCCCGGGAATCTTGTAGTTCTTGGCTGCAAGCGATGAGCAACACGTGTTCATTCTTGGTCACCACCTGCGCGTACGCAAATCCCCTCTTTTCACGCACACAACGACCCTTGCACACATTGACAAGGTCTGATGTCGCCTTCGACAGGAAGTGCGCCACCCAGCCGCAACCCCTTGCGGCATGGGCATCGCTTTGCGGGCAACAAAGGTTGCTTTGGCAAAGGGGCCAACGGGTAAGGCCCTCACTGCGCACGCCGGAAGCGGATAACAGCTTCCGACCTTGCATTCCTGGTGCCACGGAGATCTAGATTGATGCACACCCCAAAAAGGCGAAGAGCCCGGAGCCGGGGCGCTTCAGGGAGAGCTTCCTGGAGCTGGGTTGCAAAGCTCTCCTGCGTGGACCACCAACCCGACTTGTGAAGGTTGAACTGCTGCCCAGCAAGGGTGTCAAAGAGAGATGTGGCCCTGACGGCCAGGACGAGGCTCTCCACCGCTTCAGGAGACGTGACCGACATGTAGCCTTCATCAACATAGACACGCGGGTCAACTCCAGGGAAGTGCTGCATGAGGAGACCAGGCGGCCATAAGAACATTGGCAGCCAGAACCGACATGGAGCAGCCTTGGGCAATGCCATTGCAGTTCGCC